GCTAGCACGTTTTTGTTCCGACATAAAATTGTCGTATCATCAGCAAGCGTTGTGGTGACGACTGAGCTATTTATTGGGATATCAGAAGTATACAGTACATACAAGATAGGGCCAAGAACACTTCCTTGTGAAACGCCAGCTTTTATTGAGGAAGTTTTTAGAAATAAATGATTTACATTTCACTTTAAAGCTTCTATTCTGCTGAAATGATTCTAGAAATGAGTGGCCATTTGCAGGTAATAAACAGCGACTTTTATATATGATAGCTAAGGGGGTCGAATTTCCAACGCATTAATTATTTTGCTTTGCAATTTGGTTTTCCGGTTTATAAATATTAATTTGAAGTGTTTTAGGTTAAAGTGTCAGATTACCATATTACACAGTGCATTGAGTGTCATCATGGTTTGATATAACACTAGTGTAGTCAATATCAATTATAGACTAGTATAGTCAAACCTCTCTATGACGAAGTCGCTGATGCTTGCAAAAAACTTCGTTATGGAGTCTTCGTTATTATTTATTTTTATTTTAATCCTTTTTTATTCCTAGGTGGAACAGAGGGCCGTAACAAATATTTTACATTGAACTCTATCTAATGCAAGACGTTTTGTTTCACTCCAGCTCTTTCCAGCATTTCTTAATTCGGCTTCAGTTTGTCGTTTCCAAGTGTTGCGCGGACGCCCTGGTCTTCTACTGCCTTGAGGGTTGAAATCTAAGACATTTCTTGCGATATTATCAGCGGGTTTTCTTAACGTATGGCCAAGCCATTTGTATTTGCGCATCATTATTTCATCAGTTATAAGAGGCTGATTCGTTCTAAACCCGAGCTCATTATTGGTTATGGTTGCTGGCCAGAATACATGAAGGATGCGTCGTAGACAGCGATTGACAAAGGCTTGTAGCTGTTGTGTGTCTCTTGCCGTTAGGTTCCAACTCTCACTACCATATAGTAAAGTTGTTTTTACGTTTGCATTGTACAGGTGTATCTTAGTGCGTTGTGTGATGTTGGATGAACGCCAGATTTTGTTAAGGGTTCCAAACGCTTGCTTCGCTTTCAATAGCCTGTGCTGTATGTCTTGCCGACTGCCGCCGTTGTTCGAAATGTAGCTTCCCAGATAGCAGAAACTTTGTACATCTTCGATGTAGGAGTCATCTATTTGAAACTTCGTTGAGCAGTTTGAATTGAGACGCATAGACTTGGTTTTGTTGATATTGATTGACAGACCAGCTGCGAGTGCACGCTTTGCGCTGTTGTTTAACGATATTTGCATCTGGGAAAAGTTATGTGTTAGTAAACAGATGTCATCAGCGTAATCGAGGTCAGTAAGTTTGTTATGAAGGTCGAATGAGATGCCATGATTTGTGCTCATAGCTTCCGACATAACCACATCTAAGACTATATTAAATAGTATAGGTGAAAGAATGCAACCTTGTCGGACGCCAGACTTAATTTGAATTTGCCCGCTGAGACGCCCTTCGTGAAGTACTGAGCAGTGCGCGTCAGAGTACAAGCCTTTTACTAAATTTATTAATTTACTCGGTATACCTTTACACTCTAATGCATACCAGATGGTGGTATGGAGAAGTGTATCGAATGCACATTTAAAGTCGATAAACAGCAAGTATAGAGGAGATCGCCATTCGTTAGACTGTTCGACTATTATTCGAAGGCTGTTTATGTGGTCGGCACATGATCGATTATGCCTAAATCCTGCTTGCTCGGCTCGTAGTGTAGGCTCAACGGCCGAAGTTAAACGTTTATGTCTTCGTTATAAAGAATAACAAATTTTTTTTTGTTCATTTTTTTAGCATTTTACTGGGAATTACATACGTATTTATTATAAAAATCCGGGTATCAAACCGGAACCGAAAATCGGAAAAAACAGATATATTTGCTGGAACGAAAACCGGAACCGAACCGAAAAAAATATATCGGTTTAATTCGGTTCAGGACCATATAGTTTGCTATCTGTGCATCTATTTCTACAGTTGTTGATTTTTTATTTATTTATTTATATGAAATATGCTTTAAGTTGACTGAAATTATTCCTAAAATAAGAAATATTTTCACGAAACATATGTTAACTAAATTATTTAATTTATATCAAAAGCATAGTCGATTATTTAACGGAAAACGAAAAGGACAAGATACATATAATTGTAGACACTCTGCAACCCCTAACAGAGGGAATTTTGAAATTACAAAGTGAACAATTAACTTGAAGTAATTTTTGGAATTTGGATCCAATGTAAAATAAAATGAAAAAATTAGAAAATATATTGTCAGATATTTTATACAATGAGTTATGCACTAAAGAAAAAGTGTAATTAAAAACTGATCAAATACTAGGAGCAATATACTTAGATCCGCGTTTTAAAATTTTGTGCATTTTAAAAATATTTGGAAAAAGTTATAATTTTTAGAGCAATCAATTCCAACTGCAAAGGAACAAGCTGTATCATCTACTGAAACCCACAATGAAATAGTAGACGACTTAGAGATTTTTTTAAGAAGCAAAGAATCAACAATACAGAAACGTAACTCTTGTATTAAAACAGAATTGGATATAGACTACATATTGAATAATTTTGAAAATGTACGGCGGTTGAACAAAGTAAAACTCATATTAAAGTTTTGGGAAGAACATAAATATACATATCCTCTTTTACATAAAATTGCAATGGTGGTTTTAAGTGCATCAGCAACACAAGTTAGTGTAGAAACAGTCTTCTCTTGATCGAAATTCATTCTAAGAGACAACAGAAGTAATTTAAATGAAAACACATTGGAAGATATATTTATAATAAGAAAAAATTTCCATTATTTTAAAATTTTTTTCATTTTTTAAGTTTCATTTCTTTTTTAATTTACATTAAAATTTACACAATAATTTATTAATGGGCTAATTGGTCAATTCAAATAGAAATAAAAACACTATAGTTTATTATTTACATTTAAAACAGTTTATATTTTAATTAAAATAATTGTTCCAATATTTCGACTGTCTTCTATAGTCGTCTTCAGGGAACCTAAACAAAATATATGTACAATGTCCATTTTTTATAGTGGAACATTACGAAGAAAAATCATAATAAATATAATAATAATAATGACAACAAGAAAAACAACACTAGAAAAGAAAAATAAAAATTATAAAAAAACATTTACAAACATCCTGTGTCATTTGTTTATAATATTTCTATAAGCCTGAGCACAGTTGTCCGTATCCGTTTAATAATTTAATTTTGTACTATTAGGAGCTTGAATTATTGAGAGCATTTCCAGAAAGTACCTTTTATTATGGTTTCTTTCTTCATGTAAGATTTTTGCATTATCGAAATCAGTCTGTTTACAGTCAATACAATGTACAGCCAATGCTGTATTGGCTTGAGCACCACTTTTATTTTTCAAACTATGTTTATGTCCAGCCATCCTTGTCTTAAGTTTATTTTTAGTCGTACGTATATATAATTTATTACATACGTTGTACCCGACACCTTTACAATTTAACTGGTACACTACATTAGATTTGTCCTTATTATGTATTTTTGTTTTAGTGTTGCTATATAATGTAGCCATTGTGTTAGTTGTCTTCTGGGTGATTCTATAACGTTCCTTGTCACATATATTATATTGGAATTCATTATTTGATTTGACATTTTCGGAACGAAATCAATTGATTTGTATATTTTTTGGTCATTATTACTAGCTGGTTGGAACTTTCTCAAGTTATTATTAAAATATCATAAGATCAAATAAAATATTCTATCTTAAAATATCACGCATTATGTTCTTTTGTTTACTATGGAAAAAATTGTCACTAAGTACCAGAACTCTTCTAATAAAATTGGGTGCTGTATTTAAAACAACGTGTTTTGGATGAGTGGAATTATAGTTAATTAATCTTCCTGACGTGAAGACTTTTTGTACCATTGAAAGTGAATCTGGTTATTATGTGTAATTAATTCAACATCTAAATAAGGAAGCATGTCAGTCTTTCCTTCTTTTATAGAAAATTTTAAATTTGAGCAACAGGACGATAAAATCTTAGCAAGAACATTGGACAAGGTAATTTGATAAATTTCCTAACCAAGCAACGTGGCCCATTCGGTAGCGTTGATCTCCTAACGCAATAACGTGGCCTAGGTGGTAACGTTGATTAATCTCCTAATTTACCAAACGTTCTTCTAATTTCCCCAAACGTAATTGTAATTCATTTTGTTAGTTAATAAGTTATACAATATGTGTATGTATGTATGTATATTTATTTTCATTTTAAATTTCATTCTTACAGTATGATTAGTGAATCTTAAATTAATATATAAATATATATAATTGAAATAACGACTCTGACTCATGTCATCCGTCGATATTGTCCTCCGATGGAGATGTTAAGCTGATAAGAACAGATACTACACTTTGATCTTAGTCATAAAGCCGAGAAGCGATATATTGATAGATACTACACTTTAATCTTAGCCATGAGGCCGAGAACTTATACAATGTATTGTAAAAATAATAAATTAAACCAGAAATAGCCCGTCTTTAATATTAGGTCTGTTCCACGAGCTACACATAGTAACACTGTGTATACACAAGTGCGTTCCACGAACAAATTTGTGAGTAAATGAGAGCATCTGAGAGAGCGTAACATCCCTGTCGAAATTTGAAAATGTTACATAGACTTTACTCATGCATTTTATATGAAGTAAAATTTGTGTTTATGTGTAAATCAGCTGTTATGGTTTGAATTCAAATTTTTGTATTGTTTGTTTGCGCGGCATTTGTGAATATTAAAAAATTCTGCATTTTTAATTGTAACAACTGTAATAAATAAATATTGAAATGGATAAAAACATAATAAATATTTTATTAAGTGATTTAAGTAACACAACACAACCAGAATATAACGTAGGTAATACACTTCGAGATAGTGACTCTGCCGATGATGTAGAATTGATGTATTCGATATTACATAAAAAAAAAGATAACGTGTGTGTATAAAAAATTATATACAAGATGTTGTTTGCAAATATGACGACAAGGAATTCAAAACTCATTTCCGCATTTCGCGGAGCCTTTTTAATTCTTTGGCTATAAAATTTCAAAATAGTACCGACTTTATTGCACTGCGAGTAAGTGAGCTGAACATTTCTTCAGAAGCTCACGTTGCTGTTTTTTTATGGTTTGCTGGTCACGAAGCATGTTGTTTTAGAGATTTATCAGATCGCTTTAATCTCTCTTTATCGTCAGTAAACTGAGTTATAAGAAGGATGATAACTTTCTTTAGCAACATGTGTCCGGATATAATTGCATGGCCTAGCACATCAAAAAAGGAAGAAGCAAGTACATTTTTCCAAAGCTTATGCAATTTTCCATAAGTTATAGGTAAGGATTTATGTGCATATTAACGCTGCATATATATTAATACATGTTACTTTGCAGGTTGCCTAGATGGCACTCGTATAACTATTGATCCTCCTGGAGATCGTAAGGTCGACTACATTGACAGAAAAGGAAATATTTCATTATGCTTGCAAGCCATCTGTGATGAAAACAGAAAATTTATTAGCATATTTGTCGGACATCCAGGCTCCTGTCATGACAGTTGGGTCTTACAAAACTCTCCTATTTATATGCGACTACCATCGAAGTGTGGAGGTAAGTTCTTTGGAAAAAGAAATGAGATTTATTAAAACCTCTTACGTTTACAGAATACTATCTACTGGCTGATTCCGCATACCCCTGTACACAACACATCATTACGCCATATAAAGACAACGGGCGTCTTACTCGTGCACAAAAGAATTTCAATAGAAAATTGGGGTTAGGTCGAATACTAATAGAAAATGCTTTTGGTATTTTAAAACAACGTATTAGACAGCTGTACTACTGTAAATTAAAAGGAGTTGAAAAACCGTGTCACTTTATAAGAGCATGTTGCGTTTTGCACAATCTTGCAAATGAAAACGATTTAGAATTCACATTTTCAGAACAATCTGAGGAAGATAATGATGTCAACAACGACATCCCTTTTAGATCAAATATCGTTAGAGATTCGATTTGGAATGAATTACAAACAGAAAATAACTTGGATTAAAGTGTTTATTTGTATATTGCTTATTTTTCATTAATTAATTTTATTAATATTGCAATAAAGAATTTAATTCTAATTAACATATTAACATCATATTTTATAAATATATACTTAATTCTGTCTTAGCTTTAAAATTGCATTATTTAAATAAATTTTTAATTCTAACTAAACATAAAGACTATAATATTAAAAGTAAATATGTTTTTAACATAATGTGTCCTAATAATAATAATATGTAATATATTAAAATAAGTTTAAAAATAAATAAATATAATATATTAATTATTTTATTATTAATGTGTTTGTCTGTTATTTTTCAATTTCTATTTCTACTGTTTTGTTTTTCAAAAAACAGCCGTTTTCACCAGACTTTACAAAAAACTGTTCCATGAAAATTTGTGTAAAGAGCGTAATCTGGCACTTTATTTGTGTTACGCTCTCAGTTTGTACTTTACTTCTGTTTTACTCATGGTTTACTATATGTAGCTCGTGGAACAGACCTATTATATTACGAGAAAAATTCAGGGTTGCTAGAAATATTTTTGTAACAACCCTGGCGGACCGTGAGCTATCCCAGCCACGGTTGCCACTTATGGTACTTTAGTACCAAAATTGGTACTTTTTTTTCGTTTGGTACTCATGTTCAAAAAATGGCACATTTTTGACGACCCAACTTTATTGTGGATATTTCCAATTAATTTTTTTTATAAATGCAACTTTGCCCTATTTTATATTTTGTTCATTTATAACACTATGAAAAACACAGAACGAAGAAATAAAAAGGTTCAAAAAAATTTTGGACCTGTGCAACTGTGATGGCATTCGAAGCAATAATGTTGTTGCATTGCATTTTGCTTTTTTCATACTCGTATCCATAGTTATAGTCGCTTGTCAAAAATTGACTGCACAAGAGTTAAGGGCCATGTTATGCAGAGTGTCTTGGGAACGGCATGAGTACAATTGTTGTTGTTTTCAATGCAAATTTTAAATTTGAGAATGAGAAAAAAAACAATATGGCCGTTCAAACCCCGGCATGAGAGCCGGCGTATTTGTGCCCCGGCACTAAGGCAAAACAGTATTGTTTAGTAATAAATTTCAAAATTTGCGCCTTTTAGGAGCAAAACACTACAATTCTAGTACGTTTTGGAGAAAATATGGCTGTAAGCAACACAGCATTTTTTTTATAAATCGCTAATAATATAATTATTACACTTTCCGATTTAAAAAAAACGCGTAAGAACTGTTAACAATTATTATAAGATAATATAATAATAAATTAACATTATTACAGCCTCTATGAGTTTTTTCATGCGAGTTATTTTTGGTGGCTAATTGAGCATATCTAAATTTTCTTTAAAATTTAGGCACAACCAAGAAGTAGTAAAAATACAAAATTGGCAATACTGATGTGACACTCTGCATAACATGCATTTCGGGCATAGCCCGAAAGATCGTAATTTGCCGTGCCCGAGACACTCTGCATAACATGGCCCTAAGCAATAGTCAAATTTTGCTTGCTTTTGCTACGTCTCAGTCAGCAATTCATACTCTGAGCCTAACTTCCTGCAAATTATTCTTTGAAGCCATATGAAAACACATAACATTTGAATTTTGTCTGTTAAAAAAAATGATCAAATTTACTTGAAAAGTGTGGCAATTGACTAAACTTGAATGAAGTAATTTTAAATTTGTGATTTATTAATTTTTAAATAATTTTATTAATATAATCCAATTATTAATTAAGTTTTATCTGAATTAGCAACAATATTATACTTATTCTTTTACTGTTACTTTTAACAATTTTGCTTTACTGCACATACATATGCTAGCAATTGTGTTTAATATACATACATATGTATGTATGTACAAATAATGAATTTATTTAATGTTTTTTGTTTTTCTAATTTTGAATAGCAAAACCACAGCAACACCCCAAATGTATTCAAATTTCCGGTTTGCGTACTTTTACCAAAGTTAACTTAATCACAATTCGGTTACCTCTGCTTTAACATTGATAAAAAAATTGAGATTTTTTAAAAACCATTTTGATCTTTCTAGTTATTAATATTTACTATATGAAATTAGCTTATTTGTATAATTACATTTTTTCGATAAAAAATAAATAACTAATTCTATTTTTAAAAACAAATCGTTTAAACGAATTTATAACTTGTGTTAACTTCTATTGTTCATTTATATAAATAATCAAGTGAAAGTAGAAAAAACTGTATCAATCACATAGTAGTTATATTCAGCTTTTATCTACTCCAAAAAGAGTGGATACGGCTAACTATACAACAAATAAGCTATATGTGAACATTTCGCTGCATTATTCTTTTCGAAATATTGTGCTCAAACAGTGTATGGTAGCACAGTAAATATTTTTAGTTTGGCTCAAACTAGTTGAGTGTTAACGTGAATCGAAGAACAGTGAGAATTTGCTAATTTTGGGAATCTGTAAACAAGTGTACAGTTTAATGGTCTATTGAAATTTAATTTTTCCAACACGCATGCGTAACTTCGTTGCTAATATTATATTATTTAATATACATTTATGAACTTTTTTCGAAAATATTGCAAACTACGTAGTTTGTATTTTGAAATTGATATTAATTAGAGGAATTTTTGTATTCACCTACACACTGAAAAGGTAAAAAAATGTAGAGTTAATAAGTTAAAAGTAATGTAATACGGCCATAATTTCCTATACAATAAGTAATTTGTCTAAATTGCGTCATTTGAATATACCAAAATATTACTTTTGTCCTACACTGGTGTGAGTTTATACTAAAATATTTTTTTATGTCAACTAACTTTAGTTTTTGGTGTAATGTTGTTCAGTTTAACTAAATACATATATTGATTTCCAATGTGATTATATTGCCCCAATTCCTTCTACATGTTTTGCCACCAAACTGACAGTTTGCAGAATGCAAACAATTTATACAATTCTGTATGAAAAGAAATGTATTTTTTTAATGTGTAATCTCAAATTTTCATTATTTACTAATATTTAATACTAATATTATTATTCACAAAAATACTAATATTTTTGCTTTACAAATTACTTGGTTTAATATTTCTTAAGTTTCTTCGCAACTTAAAATGAGAGTGAAAATTTTTACTTTCTGAATTTGTTTTTTCAATTAATATTGATGTACAAAATAATGAATACGATTTTTATTTAGAAATTATGGATTATCATCACTCGATTAAAGTTGATGGAACTAACAATAGCAATATGATTTCCATTAGTGACTTTTCCGGAGATGAGCAAGATCTACGTGAATACGGTGACGAACGTGATAACTCCGACTTAATTGAAAAGCCTATATATCTTTTAGAACATTTAGCTACTTTTACAGTCAACAAAGAATCCGGAATAGTTTATCCTGCAGACGGTATGCGACGCTTATTGCAGTTGGAAAAATCGACTGGCATATGGTCACAAAAAATGAGATTGTGTCTCAACACACCATGGGTTCTTATAATGGACTATGAAACTGGCGTAAGAAGCTTTTTTACTGTATATATTATTATAGTTAGTATTTAGTATTTAATGTTTTTAAATTTTTAAATTTTTTTGACTTTGTTATGATTTTTTTTCATCTATTTGTCGATTTAATATTCTTATTACAAATATTTTAATTTACAATATTTTGCATGATTAAGGATTTTTTACTTCTGATTTTTGAAAATTAAAGTCAAGGGTTCAATATTTAAAGTTTAATTTGTTTACATTAAGCTTTACGTTAGCTTTTTTTTGTTTTATGTGTAGAACTTGCGTCGCTATCGTCAGGATAAAACACTTAATATAGCTCTGTCACTGAATGCTTATGTAAGCCATGCTTCGTTTTAACTCTGGCTACTGTTATTAAGTTTTCAACAAAAGGAAACAAAATGAATAGAAATGTATAAAGCTAAAAAGACTATAAATCAAAATAATAGTATAAAACAATCAAGTGAAACCAAATTAAAAAAAGTAACTATAACTGTATATTTTCTTAGTCTTTTGGCACTTTTTAGAATCACACACAAATAGTCCGATACTTCTTTAGTCGATCAGTCTGACTTGTTAGGCCCATGTTATGTAAAAAGTCACGGGCTCTTTGAAATCAAAATTGTTGGTTTCAATGCAAATTATAAAATTGAGAGCGAGAGAAAAAAACAAAATGTCGGTTAAAATTTGTTCATGAGAAACGAGGCTCGTCACTTAGTCAAAGTAGTGTTGTTCAGTAATAAATATCACCACTTGTATCTTTCAGTAGCAAATTATTGCAATTTCTGTGACACTCTGTACAACATGCATTTTCGTCATAACCCAAAAAAAGTCAATTTCGAAGGGCCCATGGCTTTCTGCGTAACTTGGGCCTTACACATTCAGTTCATTGTACTCACCTGTGTTCTCTCATTGTTTCTAAAACATTTATAATGAAAGTGAAATAAATATCATTATAATAATAAGCTGAGAGAACAATTGAATCTTTTTTTTTCAGGTTAAAATTCATACTAACACATACACAGCATTATTAAGTACATATGAAAGTGAGAATTTTATTGAGCTGTGAATTCGATCTTTTTTTGAATTCACTTATTGGGAATTTTTTTTTATACATTTCCTTTTTCTCCAAGTTTATTTAGTTTTTCATGCACATATTTGAGGTAAACATAGCGGAAGCTGTATATCATATGTAACAAACATTGAACACGGTATTTTGCATTTCTTTATGTGCAAGACTTTTGGTATTTGGAATTACCTTCAGTTTTTTAAATTGTTGCTGCTATTGCTACTACTTTTGTTTATTGACGATAGTGACAATTTGCATTTGAGAAAGTTTAGCATCATTATATCGTATCATATAATGAATATATATTTTATATTATATTGTATAATGATAATCAAATATATCAATTATATATTTTATTTATAAAAGTACATTTTAAAAAATTCTCACCTAAAATTTGTTTAAAAAGTTTCAAATTTTGATAATTTCCCTTTTGGGAAATATATTTTGCAACGTTGCACTCGTTACTTTTAGTGTAATTTCCCTTAATTTATACTTAACTGAGTTAGAAAGCACGAAGGGTCTTTGTGCGGTTCAACTTTATAATTTTATTGTAAGTTACTGTAAAGAAAGCGCAAACTCACCTTTTTTTCTGTTCTTCTCTTTGTAAGGTTGAGTTAATGTTCCAAAAGAAATCATCTTTCTAACTTTTAAGAAACTGCATTCGATTTTCACGAAGTTAGTGTAATTTTAACAATTTTTTAACGAAAAGTGAACTTTTGTAGCGATCATTTTCCAAAGTTGTTTCGGACAAAATTTTTGTAAACCAAAAAATTTTGTTTTAAAAAATTTTAATAAGTTAATTATAAACCAAAATTTTTTGCTTTTTTACAAAAATTAAGCACCGATGAAGTTCTAAAAAACCGAACGAAATATATACTGGAAATTTCTAAATAAAAGCTTTTTTATTTGGTTTGTCTGCTAGCCGATATGTATATCTAAATAATAATTTTTACATTCTCGTTAATGGAGATTTACTAAGTTATTCTTTGTTGCATGAATATAAAGTACTGTTAAATTGTCATCACAAATTATTGGTTATACAGTGGTGGAAGAAATAATAAGAACGAAGAAATATGTTGTGTTTTTATTACTAATTTTTTTAATTATTCAATTTAAATCTCAAATGTATGGTTTTTTCGAAACATTACTTTCAAATTTATCAATTCAAAAAAAAATATGCACAGGTTTGATAGAATAATAAGAAAAAAATGGGACTTTCTTCATTGCCCTTGGAAAAAAAAAAATAAGAACTTAGCACTAGAATACTTTTGAAATTGAATTTAGTCTTTCAGATGTATATTTTATAGCGTGAAAATATTCCTGAGACTAATATTTCGTTATCGAGCCACCATTTTTTAGGACTTCGGAACATCGGTGACCCATTGAGTCCACCAACTTAGCGCAAACCGACTGGTCAATAGAATACCATGCCTCCAGCACTTTATTCCATAAATCTTGCATATTTCTCGCATTACAGCCAGCCAATTTCCGTTTTAGAATCCCCTATAGGTGTTCAATTGGGTTTAGGTCCGTACTCTGCGATGGCCACTCCAAAACCGGAACACTGTTCTCCCTGAACCAATTTTTTGCAAGGCGCGAGCTATGTTTTTGATCGTTATCTTGCATGAACTGCCACTTTAATGGCATTTCTTCCTCGGCAAAGGGTAACATCACATTATTAAGTATCTCTACATAATCTGTAGCGCACATATTTTTTTTTATCGAAAATATTAGACCGACACCTGAGTGAGAAAAACAGCCCCAAACTTTGATATTGCCACCACCATGTTTTATGGTTTTTATAGTATGCCGCGGATCATATTCAGTGTTCTTCTGACGTCTTACGTAACGTTTACCATCAGACCCAAATAAATTTATCTTGGTCTCATCAGACCACAACACGTTTTTCCAGTTTTTGCGCTTGAGGTGTTTCTGGGCAAAAGCAATTCGGTTTCGCATGTGTATTTTCTTCAGGTATGGAACCTTTCTAGCAGAATGCGCTTTTAAACCTTTTTCTATCAATTTATTGCGTATAGTTCGGCTAGTCACTGGTGCGATTAACTCTTGTTTCAGCTTTTCCGATGACAAAAACGGGTTGATTTTGGATTTCCGAATCAATAATTCATCGAACTTTTTAGTTGTAGCTCCTTTCTGCCACGTGTTTCACTTTTAGGCTTAAAATGAATGGCGGAATGCACTTTAGTTTTAGAGCACCCCATAATATTCGCAATTTGGCTTAGACTTTTCCCTTCAGTTTTTAATTTTTGGATCAAATCTCTTTCAATATCTGTACAATGTGTTCCGCGACCCATTTGAATTCTATTTACCGCAAAAAACGAACAAAAATTTACGTGAGAAATTATTTTTATTATAATTAGTTAGTAATCAACAAAAAATACCTGTTATAAGGTTTTTACACGATTCCAATGAAAATAAAACATAAATTTCGCGCCCGTTCTTATTTTTTTTCCAACAAAAATCTGACCTTAGTTCAACTCATTCAATTTAAAGTAAATATAGTTGCTTAAAAATATGCAAATGCATAAAAAAGGTAGAGTACCGTTACACCACATTCTTGTACAGTGGGCTGCGTTCATATTATTTGCTTACAAAAAAAGTTATGTGGTTCGTAATGTAGTAAATATAATCGTTCTTATTATTTCTTCCACCACTGTATAAATCATATATTCTTTGGTATCTTTAGTAATATTCGTGAAAATTTATTATAAGATAATCCTAAATTTATAATTTTAGCTGCTACCAATTAAGCTTTTTTTTTTTTAAATGATATGCCTAATCATATATCAGGGGAAGAAAATGTGAAAAATTTGCAGTGGCTCTCAGCTTATTTCATCCAACACCAATTTTAATATTTTTCACCCTATTTCTGAAAAAGTATGTCATCGATTGAATATACGATTGCATATTCACCTGTTATGCGTCTTCGTTCGTTGGATTTTGTAAAATAAAAACCAACTTCTTAAGTTCAATATTTATATGTCTTTATTCAACAGTTGTATTTAAATAATTCTGTTTTACACGGAGCAATTATTCGAAACAAAACTCTTAACTCCATATTCTAACTTACTACAAATTCTAACTAACTGACATATTTAAATTACTTTCAAACTTTCCATTGCTGATATGATAACAATATTTAAACGCCATTTTTAAGAAAGAATATTTATTATTTAATTTAAAAACTTCAAAAATACCGAAAATATTGTTTTAATATATAATGAACATAAACTATAAAAATACTCCTATTTTAATGGCTCAGCTTATTTCATCCACAAAAAGAAATTTAATTTCGTGTCAAAGTCAATACTTGGTATGATACCCTTTCGCTTTTATCACTTCGTCAAGTCTTTTCGGCATTGAACCAACAAGTTTTTGGGTTGTTTCTGGAGCACTTTTCATCCACTCTTGTAAAATAGCCTTTTTTAAGACTTCTTTGTTAAAATTGTAAATTTTCGAATGTTTTGTTTCAATTTTGCCCATAAATTTTCAATGAAATTCATGTCTGGGGCAGTTTAGATGTGGGCACTTCCAAATCAACCAAGACTGTACAATGCCGACTTTATGTATTGGGTCATTGTCTTGGTAAAAGCTAAATGTTTTAGGAATGTCTAGTTTCACGGTACTCTGGAGTAAACTATTTTCTTATTTGGTAAAGCTAGTGTTTCAAATGGTATAATTTTCCAAAGACCTCCAAAAATACTGAGAATAATCATTGACGCTTCATGCAACATTAAAAATGAAAATATGTACCGAGATCAACAAAATCCCCTATATTAATGAGTTTAACAATATTAAAAAAAAAAATAAAAGACAATACATAAACTCCTTTGCTAAAAATCTTACAATTACATCTAGTATTTTCCGTTTAAAAATTGATATGTCCAGCCATTAAGCAGAATTAAGCATCCACCAAATGCAACATAATCTTTTCTTTAGGTAATATCAAAGCATTAGTTTGATTTCTTTAAGAAATCATACACGGCAATGTAGCTATATTTTAAGTGATTTAAATTATATATGATACATATAATATATAATTATATAATGATACATATAAAAAAAAACAAAAGTTAAAAAACTGAATTAAAAAAAAAGTATAGATTAACGTTTGACAAATTAGAATTAAAATTTGAATTATTTTTTTCTTTTACGTCGGACACGACCCCAGAAAGAGCTGCAAGTTTTCCATTTCATTTAAGTTAAACATAGAGTATATTTTTGAAAACCATTTTTTAAAACTAATTTTTATTTATTATTATTTATTCAATTGCGCCGAGTTACAAATAAAAAACTAATTAGCGATGTTTTTATATCGAGGACTTAAAATTGTCGATATTAATCCTTATCTAAATTATTATAGTATAATGATTAATACTTAATTTAATTAATAAAATCAGACGGTTTGGTTCTCTTAAGCCATTGTACGAGGTCTTCTGTTTGAAGGAGTGACGAAGCTTCTGTGTTGCAGTGAACTTAAAGTCCTTTTTTATGTGCTTCGGTCTGAAGCGTGATTATTTCAGCTACTATCGGAACAAGCAAGTCACGATGAGGGTCACTGTTACGGACATACCATAGAGCATTGGTAATTGTTTTCACGATGTTTTGATATCGTTGTATTATCTGCCTATTTGACTCAGATGTGCAACTCCAGAGTTGAGTTGAGATTGACATAACGGTATGACGTCCAAGTAGCCACTTAATTGAGTTGAATTTAAGATTTACATCTTAACGTTTGTTTTTTTGACGTGTTCACACCACCGAAGTCTAGCATCAAGTGTCATGCCCAAGTATTTAGCAGGAAAACAAAAGAACGGGCTAAGCTGTCAGCTTTTTCACTCCCTTCGATGTTCTTATATCCAGGAACCCAAATGAAGGTGATGTCAGCCAACCGATTAAGCTCGTCGATTATTTCTCTACATGCTCTTACTATCTTCGATTTTGTTGTGAAATATTCAAGGGCTTTCATTGCTGCCTGGCTGTTAATAAAGACGGCCACACTACATCTGTCCTTGATGTCAGTGGCGTCGCTAGGCGTCAGCGATGTCGGCGACCGCCGACGGCCTCGCGCCCGCAGGGGCCTCGCAAAAAGTTACCGACTGTGGATTCTAAGCATTTAATAAATATTTTGAACAATGTGGTTTGATAGTGGCATTAACCATATTTGAAGTATTCCCGAATGTTTATATAGTAACCAGATTCACGTTCACAGTTCCAATCAGTATAGCTTCGACGGAAAGAAGCTACTCAAAGTTAAAAGACGTGATTAAGACGTACTAGAAAAGTATGAAGATCCAAGAGAGACTATCTCCATTGAAAATTCTATAAACTGACGCAAAAATAGCAGCTGGCACAAATTATATATAATTTAAAAAAAAATTGAGTGAGGCTAAAAGTAGGAAAATTCATTTATTTTAATTTGATTAGCAATAAAACTTTCAACAATGTAACTTGAAAGTTTACAACTGGGTTATAAAGGGGGCCTCGCAATTCTGTGTCGCCGACGTGCAGAGTTGGTCTAGCTCCGCCACTGCTTGATGTGACATGCAATTTGCCGACAAGCTTCTCTAATTGCTGGGATTTCAACCTGAAAAACCGTGACCTTATTAGGTAGCTTCTAATAATGTGTAACGCTTAATTTAATTAATGAATAATTAATTAAGTATTTCTAGTTCTACTAGAAATAAATTAATAATTTTAGTGATATAATTTTATAGATTTAATTCAGTTGAAATTTAGTATGTATACGAAATGTGTAAAGGACATATTAAATTAAATTTTTCTTATAAAAATCAGGAATAAAATATTAGTACTTTTGTCACATTTTTTTCAATGTTATATTTGACAGCATTACTTATAATTTTTAAAATACTTCTAAAAATAATACAATCGGGAAAATGCCAGTTTATAAATAAAAATTCATTATAAATCTAAATTAAAAATAAAGTAATTAAACTTTTGATGTGAACTTCGAGAATTTTTTTTCAAATTTACGGTTAATTTTAGTATAAATAACCTCAATTTTTTATTTTATTTACATAACACGAATTGATCGTTATCTCTACAATGCAATAAATTGCAGGTCTCTCTCACAGAACGTGAAATAAGCTATTTAAAAATTTATTTAAAATACGAATTAAAAATTTTTCTGGGTTTTACTTTAGAAAAAAAATTTTTATAGTTTTATCTTACTCCGTCCTACCCTATGAAAAAAGTTGAAATTTTTTCCCAGGATACGGGTATTTTCATTACATCAATATCATAGAAATTATAGCCAAATCGGAGTTGATGAGGTCAAAAATGTTCCGCCTGTAAAAAAATGACACATACAATTTTAATTAAACGTAATGTAATATTTAGCATATCAAATTTCACTTTTTTAAACATTAAAACATGTTTTAATGTTTCTAAATTGCTGTTTTTAACATAAGATAGCAAATTAGAAGTACAGAATAGAGGTTTTCATACCCAAGAAACCACTTACCTCAAAAGTGGGAAAAGGTAAATAAATTCATTTTTACTAAATTTATTTTGATAGAAATGTTTATTAGTAGACTATATTAAGATCACTCTTATTTGAAATGATTAAATAAATAAAATGTTTATATATCTATATGAAGATTATTAATTTTAAATAACTTGTCTTTTCTAAGAATATCATTGAGCGTTTTCCAGCAACTTTAATACAGGAACCAACTGCATTTACATCAACTGATGCAATGGAGTTATACAATAACATTTTAGTTTTTATAGTATCTGGAGGGAGTGGTTCGCGATCAGAAATGCATATATTTCAGGTACTTATGCGCAATAATGTCTGTCATGATCTGTGCTAATTATTTTAATCTCATTTTAAATTGTCCAATTCATATTCAATAATTGTCATAGTCGATTTGTTAAATTCCTTTTTTAAATGTTATTTTAAAATCATATTTCAAATTTTTTATAATTTTATTACAGTGTATTGTTAAATAAATTGTTAATATATTTCTTACGATTTGAGCAAATTTTACTATTACTGTGCAGTTTTATGATTTGTCTCTAAATGTTTACTTTGTTAAAATATTTAATCGAGTTTAAAAATCCAAATATATTTCCACATATGTTTTAACAAAACATATGAAAAATATTTTAACACAGATCATGGATAGTCCTACAGGGTAATTCTGGCAACTCACCACAGTCAAAAGTCTTTTGAAAAATGTTTCCTATTCTGGCAGCTGTCTTAAAAACTCTTATCTGTCTTTCAGAAGACATTTTTAATTTTCAGCTAAGATTTTGTTTTTTTTTTTTGTGGTGTATACAATTTTTTGTATATAAAATAAAATATATAAAACTTAAAATAAAAATTATTAGTTAGTTAATTAAATATTACTAACCTAACAATTATTACTAACCTCATTTTAATTTGACGTCAAAATATAAGAATTTTAAAATATATATTTTATATATTTATCTATGATATATATATTTTTTATATATTTAAATGTTAATATTTATTAACCTGAACATTTATCTATTTATTTATTTATATATATATTAAACTAATTAATTTTTTGCCACTGATGTGCTTAATGCAGCAATAGCTGCCACCTTTTTTTTATTTACTCATGTAAAATCCAGTAAATAATTTATGTACAAATTATAATAATAATTAAACATACAGGGTTAGGCGATTAAAGTGTTATCTATTCATACGACCATGTCTTTTTTATGTGAAATTATTTTTTTTTGATTCAAATTACATCTGGTACGGTCACAGCTGCCCATACCATTAATTGAGATGGAAAATTATTTAAGGTGGCAATTTTTAGTCCAAAATTTTCGGCAGTGCGTTCAGTTAAGTAAGCACTATCATTTTAAGAGTTTATGAACTGCTTAATGGGGAAATTTTTCTCATCAGAGCACACAATATTTAGAAATTCTTTTTAACTTTTTATTGCTTTGATGTAAGATTTACGATCTTTTTTGGAAAATGCGTCAGATAGTTCGCTGGGGTATTTTCAGTTCTTTGGCTATTTGATTACCACTACGACGTGGATTGCGTTTAGGGCGAGACTTCACTTTTCGAATCCTTTCAGGAGATGTTATCGTTTTTTTTCTTCTACCATCATGACGTTTGTCGACGCTGCCAGAGCAATTATAACGATTTGCAGTAAAATACACAAACATTTTATTCACTTTGAGGTGTTTGTGCTCACGAACAATAGCTGATTGTGATTTTACAGCCAAATACCACGCAATCACATTATTACGTTTGAATTCTATCTCGAATAACTTTTCTTCTATAAAACTTAAACGCAAATGCTTGTGGTGGCTTGTAAACAATATAAACAGCTGCCTTTC